AGACATTCTGCTGTCACATGCTCAGCTCCACATTCCTCACAATTTGCCTTCTTTGTCTACGCTGCGTTAGATGACTGGGTAATGTTTTCCACCTTGTGAAATAAGAAATTAATCTTAGCGGATAACGCTGAATATACATCCACTTCATAAACTCTTGGTGTATTCTTTGGTACTACTCGTTCCATGGTCCACATTGTTGAGGTCGTAGCCATTGTCTCATATAACTTCAATACTTCATCAATTTTTTTCGTGGACAATGACCCACTAGCTGAAGAGTCGACCATGCTCTTAAAAGCTGGAAGTAGCCCTGCATAGAAATATTGGACCTGAAGTCCCTTGCTAATCCCGTGGTGTGGACACTTCCTTAGTAGATTTTTGAATCTGTTCCAAGCCTCATCAAAATTCTCAGATTCACCTTGCATGAAGATAGATATGTCGTGCTTTAGCTTTGCTATCTTGGCCGGTGGGAAGAACTTAGTACAGAACTTCTGAGTTAGGCCATTCCAAGTAATGCTGGCTATCGGCTGAGAATCAAGCCATTCAATCGCCTTGTCCCACAAAGTATGTGGAAACAGTCTTAATCTTATGGCGTCATCAGAGATTCCTTGATATCTGAAGTGCTAGCACATCTCTAAGAAACGCGAGACATGCGTGTGCGGATTCTCTTCAATTCTTCCATAAAACTGATGTCCGTTCTGGAACAGTTGTGTCACATTTGTCTTCAACTGGAAATTTGGCTGTCCGAGCGGTGGATATACAATACTAGACTGGCTTTGAATGATTTGAGGGGTCATGAACTCTCCAACGAGCATGTTTCCTTCATCTTCTTCCCCTCTTTCATTGGCTTGTACAACAGGATTGTGTTGTACATTCTCCATCTAATTTTTCGCTGCTCTGTTTTCTCTCTACCTTATTCTTAAGCTTCGTTCGATCTCTGGATTAGCTGGGAGTAGATCTCCTTCAGTAGATCTTGGCATGCACTTCTACAAGAGAATTCAATTTAAACACTTAAATAACTAAAATATGCACTTATGTGATAAAACTAAATAAGCAATAAAATAAAATGAACTAAAATAAAAAGTTCGAATTAGTGCTAAAATTGAATAAGATTAAACAAATACTCAGTCCCTTACAACGGCGCCAAAAACTTGTTCACGAAATAATTCTTTCGATTTAAAACTACCGCAAGTGTACGAATCGTAACAAGTAATAAAGTGGATTTTTAAAAGTCCGAATATCGTCCCACAGAGATTGAGTAGTTCAATTCTATATAATATAGCCTTAACCGAATCTAATTGAGTGAAAATATGGTCCAAATGCAAAAAGCCCTAATTTCAATTAAAAACCCTAATTTCTCAATTAGAAACCCTAATCTCGAAATTTATCTAATTAAACGACTCAAACACTCTAGTAAATGAAATTATGCAAATTCAAAAGATAATTTATGGAAATGAATCAAAATAAAGTCATTAGGATCGCGAATCCCCAATTGAAGCTATAGAAACCCTAATTTCATAAAATCAATGACCCGATAGAAATTTGCCAATTCAATGTTCCTAAATCTATCCAACATATTCTCTCGATATATATTAGACCTATTCTTGCACACTACCAGCCTATATCTCTATGAATGATGCAAATATACAAAAATGCATGTGATTTTGTGAACAACTAGAGAATTGCATAAAGCATAGGGGTATATCTCTATCCCCTATTGGACCCTATGTTGATTTATACCTTATCGGACCTATTCCACTTCTCTCGAATGTAAGAAATAAGTCATCAGAACTCACACAATCATTGGCCACTAATTGCGGAAGAAAATCAATGCATATAAACCAATCAAATTGTCCAAACAAGTCTTTATATTAAATTCATGAAATATGGAATTAAAATAACAAACAATGGTTCATCGATCACCTAGTGAATTGAAAACCTAGCCTAGAACATTCATAATTATAGAATAAAAAACGAACTTAATAAATTGAAAGAATAGCACCCGTATGAAAATTTCTTGAAACCTTGAATAAAGCCTTGAAAACCCGCTTGAATTCTTGTGGAATCGGCTTCAAAATCGTGTTTCTTGCCTCCAAAAGTTGTAATTTTTTTCTCCCTGGACGTTCTACCCTATTTCTGATGAATTTTGACTTTTATATCCCGTCCTCACGGAGCCCCAAAAGAGTTTCAATTAAAAATGCAAGTTCGGAATTTTTTTTATCTTTATAGCCATGCGACCACATGGTGTTAAACCATGCGACCGCATGGTTCAAGTGGACTACCTCAATGAAATCCCTGCAACCTTCTGTGCGGCCGCATGGTTGTAACTTTCAACCTTGTTGTTTTGGTCCCTGAACTTCGTTTTCTCTTTTCTTGATCTCTTTTCTTTCTTTCCTTTATTCCATCATCAAATATTGACTTCTAATTGACATTTGGGTCAATCAATTCCTTGATTACTTGTTCAGCTCATCTTTTGATTATTTGCAATTTAGTCCTTCATCTTTCACTTTTCTTCAATTCAGTCTAACATTACTTCTTTTGTCCTCAATCTCATACTTGATATATTTTCATTCTCATTCTGTACTTTAGCTCAACTTTCCAATATTTGCACCTCTGGTCCCCGAACTATCGCTTTGTTCCGTTTTGGTCCTTTTTCGGCACTTTTCTTCTGAATTCCATCTTTTTCATAGAAACACCTACATTGTATGAATTTAACAAGATTAAGTCACAATTCAACTACTTTGTCCATGTTTAAGTCATAGTTGTGAGCTAAATAAGTGTGTAAAAACACACTTATCAGTCACTACAAATTTCTACTGAAGTTACCCCAAGTCTGGCTACTAGTCCTAAACCCGTGATCACCGCCTCCTACTCGACATCATTATTTGTGGCTGGGAATTTGAAATGCAGCGAGTATTTCAACTCTTCACCATTTGGCCCTATCATTATGATTCCCACCCCGGATCCCTCATCGTTTGAAGATCCGTCTACAAAAATTTTCCAATCTGCCTATTCCCCTGTGGGTTCTTGGGTGGAATAGTGAGCTCAACGATGAAGTCTGCTAGAGCCTGCGCCTTAATAGCCGTCACTTGGCCTAAACTTAATATCAAACTCACTTAACTCGATTGCCCATTTCCACAACCTCCCAGAGCTTTCTGGTTGATGTAGGATCTGCTTGATAGGTTGGTCAGTCATTACTTGCACCGTGTGAGATTGAAAGTATGGTCTCAGCTTCCTAACCATGAAAATTAATGCAAACACCAGCTGCTTAGCTAGGCTATATCTTACCTCTGCGCCTCTCAATACTTGGCTCACATAGTAGACCGGTTTTTGCGCCTTTGAGAACTCTTTCACCAGCACCACGCTGACTGCCCGTGGTGAGACTGTCAAGTAGAGACACAACATGTCCTCGGGACATGGACTGGTCAAGATCGGGGGCTCTTGTAATGACTGCATCAGGCACCTAAGTGACTCTTCACATTCCTGGGTCCACTCAAAATTGGAAGAATCCCCTATAGCCTTGAAGAAGTGGTAGCATTTGTTTGTCGCCCGGCTCATGAAACGATTTAAAGCGGCTACCCGCCCTGTTAGTCTCTGGACCTCCTTCCTACTGGTGGGGCTTTTCATTTCCAGTATTGCTTGAATTTTATCCGGGTTCACTTCGATGTCCCTTTGCATGATCATGAAGCCTAGGAATTTTCCTCCTGCAGTTCCAAAAACATACTTCTCTGGATTGAATCTCAATCTGTTTTGTCGGGCAACATCAAACATTTTCTACAAACAGGCCACATGGTCATCGGCCTTGGCACTCTTGACCACCATGTTGTCAACATAGGCCTCTACAACATCCCCGTTCAACTCACGAAAGACTTTGTTCGCCATCCTCTGATAAGTTGCCCCGACATTTTTTATACCGAATGGCATGGCTGTGTAACAGTATGTACCAAAGTCTGTGATAAATGATGTCTTCTCCTGATCGGACTCGGCCATTGAAATTTGATGGTACCCGAAAAATGCATCTAGAAAGCTGAGCCTTTCATTTCCCGATATAGCGTCCACCAGGTGATCTATCCTGGGAAATGGGTATGAGTCTTTTGGTCATATCTTGTTCAATTCAGTATAATCTACACACATGCGCCACTTTTCGTTTGAATTCTTTACAAGTACAATGTTTGCCAACCACTCGGGGTACTGCACTTCTCGAATAAAACCCACATGTAGCAATTTTTCTACCTCTGCTCTGGCCACGACCTGCCTCTCCGGGGCAAGATTTCTTTTTTACTGCTTCACTGGCTTAGCCCCTGGTTGGACACCGAAGCGGTGCTGCGCGATGGTCGAGCTGATCCCTGGGATATCTTCTGGACCTCAAGTGAAAACGTCCAAGTTACTGGCTAGACATTTTATCAATTTTTCCTTCTCCTCGGATCCCAGACTTGTTCCAACACTAAACTCCTGTCCCTCGACTATAAAGGTTGTTTTAGTCATATCGAGTGGCTCGATCCGTCCCCTTAGGAGTTTCACATCCAGCATCATGATTGGTGGTGAGCCTTTAGCCTGTATACTATCCACATAGCATTTCCTTGATGCATGATGGTCCTCTCGCACGCACCCGACTCCCCTGCTAGTTGGGAACTTCATAACCTGATGGTAGGTTGATGGGACAGCACCAGCTGCGTTTAGCAATGGCCGGCCATAGATGGCATTGTAGGCCATGGGGGTCTTGACAACCAAGAAGTTAGTCACAATCACCACTGTTGCTGGATATGTACCTAGCATAACTGGAAGCTCCACGGTTCCCTCCGGTACCACTATTGTTCCTCCAAAGCCTTGTAGAGGAGTAGTCACCATCTTCAACTTCTCGGGGGAAATCTTTAGACCCAAGAAGGCATCCCAGGTGAGGACGTTTGCCGTACTTTCCCCGTCATCTAGCACCCTCTTCACGTCAAAATCCGCTATATCGCCTACTATCACTAAGGCGTTATCATGTGGATGCATTATACCAATCAAGTCCTATTAGTTGAAAGTAATGCTCTGGTTGAACCTTGTTTTTTCTGGATAGAGCAGATCCCTACGGAATGCGCATAGCTCTTCCTATCAGAATTTGAGTCGCCGTCCAATGCTACATCCCCAATGATAATGTTTATCACTCCTGCCCTTGGCGGGGGTCGATCCTTGAGCCTTTCCTTGCCCTTGTCATTTTTTACATACTTAGCCAATAGTCCCCACCTTAGTAGGTGCTCAATTTCCTCCTTCAACTGAAGACATTCTTCGGTATCATGTCCGTGATCTTTATGAAAATGGCAATACTTACTTTGATTTCTCTTGCTGGAGGGAGTCTACATCGGTTTAGGCCATTCGAGCTCTTTCATGTGTTGTATTTCCATTAATAAATTTGTACGTGGGATGTTCAAAGGGGTGGGTACTTGTACATCCTCTCACTTCTGCTTGACCGACCAGTCCTGGGTATAACCCTTATTCATACGTTCATTCTTCGGCTTATTCTTATCAGCATGCCTTCGCTCATCATTCGTATTTCGCTTATGAGCTTTCGTCTCCCATCCATCTCTGAGATTTTTAGTTACCTTCTCCGCTTCTTCCGCATCGAAGTACTTGTCTCCCTTCTTCAACAGGTCATGTATCAATTCCGGGGGATTCTTGGAGACTGACATCTTAAAGGCCCGATTTCGCGTCCCATTCATCAAGGCGGTAACCACTGTAGACATTTGCAAGTCCTTTATGCCAAGAGTCACCCGACTAAGCCTAGCCAAGTATTCTTGCAATGACTCATCCTTCTCCTGTACGACCTGCATCAACCCAATGACCACCTTCCTCTTCCTCTTGCTGCTTAGGAAGGAAGCCACAAAGCTCTGGAGAGCTCATCAAATGTCTTGATAGACCGCGGGGCCAAGGTTGCTACCCAGTCCCTGGCCTCCCTCCTGAGTGTGGGGGGGAAGGACCGGCACATCACTGCGTCCAGGGCCGCATAAAGTCTCATCAGATCTACAAAGTTCGGCAAGTGGTCAAAGAGATCCATGACTCCGTCATATGCTTCTATCATGGGCTATTTGAAGCCTTTAGGTAAGGGGACCGCCATGATCTCAGGTGCAAACGGGTCTTCCTCCAAAACCATCTACCTTCGCTTATCCTTCCTCTTGGATAGTGCATCATCTATCTTCTGGGATTTCTTCCATCTTTTGTTCCAGTCCACCATGGCCTGCGGGGGGTGCTAAGCTACGACCACTGGAGTCCCCGAATCTCTCGTCGCCTGTAGAGCTATGGGTGGGACAACCGCGGGTAGCGCTTAAGGTGGCTGCTGGTTTGTCACTTCCGTTGGGCTCAATGGGGGGGGGACCGCGGTTCTCTGCGATTGGTTTTGTAAGAGCACCATCATTGTTGTCAACTGAGTCTCCAAAGCGCTGAATTGACTTTGTGTCACATATTGCAGGGACGGCGGTGGTTCATGACCCCCCGCAATTGACTCCGACTCCATCGTATTCCTAATCAAACGAGTATCATTCCTTGTTTGTCTTCTCGACATAGCTTTTTAGTTCAGATGTTTCCACAGACGGCGCCAACGAAATGGTGGTCGAATAATGCTTCCTGATCTATCTTCAGCCTTTGGTGTTTCTGCTACTTTGATGAAGGTGTGTAACTTACAAAGTGAGGGAGGGGCTTTCTCCCTCGTTTTATCTCCGGTGTGAGAATCAGTAGGCGTGTTAGGAGAAAATAAATTCGGAATTCAGATAGCTAAAAAATATGCAATCATCTATACATGTATCACCCTTGGGACGTATTTATAGACGTCAGAAGCCGAGTAAGAGCCGGGCGGCTGTGGTACCACGTGTTCCACTTTGGCCTTCCCATTATCCCCACGTTCTAAGTGGGGAGTCTTAACTACCCCACGGAGGTTATGTTTGTGGTGATCACCATGTAACTTTGTTAATTCATTAGAGATTTTGAGGCTAAGTGTTGAGATGGCCTTATAGGTAATTCATGCCGGTCGCTGGTCTTGCATAGATGTAGAGCATCCCCGGGGGATTGAGGGTCTCTCGTAGAGGTAGAGCGCACTCAAGGGATCGACGGTCTCTCATAGAGGTAGACTCATCTCGGGAGGTTGATGGTCTTTTGTAGAGGTAGACGTCCCCAGGGGGTCGACGACTTCGCATTGGCGTGTCATGATTTATATTGCCTATCTTTGAAAGCGATTTCTTATGTTAACTGATATCAACTAGTATTCCACGGTTAAACTCATATAGAAAGCATTTTAACTCTAGGCCATCTCGAATCCTGAATTTGATGTACTTTTTTAGAATAAGTACGCTAAAATATTTGCAATAAAGAAGACATGCATACTATAATGTCAAGTTCAATCATTAGCTGAAGATATTCATAATACATTAACAGTACATCATAGAAATAAAATTACAGTAATTATTAAAATGCAGGGTGGGTGCAGGGTAAAATTACATCTCCTTAGGTGAGGCGAACACCGAGCTTATCATAAGAGGAGAGCTTGACATCGAGATCATTCTGCAACGTAACCATGTTTGAAACCCCTGGCATTCGTATTACTCGAATCCGACCCGATTAGTAATGGTTCGTTGATATTCGAACCTGAAACCAATAGTTAAACGGTTGTAATTTGCTGGCCATGTGTGATCCGAAGCGCGGCACTTTCAATCACTGCTTCATCTGTTTCAATGTTTCCGTCTGTGATGAATCACATCAACGATCACAGATACACCGGAAGCAGATGGAAGTTTTGGGTTCAATCTAAATTACCCTTTCACCCTTGTGCCTCTGTAGTAATTTTCTAATTCAGCCCCAGTTTTGGGATACTTTTAAATTTGACCCAATCAAAGATTCAAAATTCCACTCTGACTTTGAAAATCTTGAATATTATCACATTTACCTTTTGAATGGTAAAAGACAAAGATACATTTAAATGTATTATACAATTACAAAACAATGTATTGTTGAAAAGACTTACTATCCCTTTAGTTAATAATTGAAAATCAAACACTTCCCCACTTATAAAACTTCAAAGCGAGCTTCCAACACAGAAAAACTCTCATCTTTCATCTGTTTAAACCTCAAAATCTCAAAAAACTTTCAAACGCTGAAGTCGAAATTTTTTTTCATATCAATTACTTTAAATCGGTAAGTATATTTACGCATGTTTAATTTTGTTTCAGCAAATTAGTATACGTGTGAATAGAGAAATTTTATTTCGACATAGTAATAGTTAGTATAATTTTTTTTTTAACAGATCTTACCTATCAAATTTTTATTTTTGATCAGATCTATAATTTTTTTCTTTAGAACCGTAGAAAAAAAATTCATACGCAAAACAACCAGTCGGCTGTTATAGCGACTGCCGACTGTTAAATAGCCGACAGCCGGCTGTTTAGCAGCTGGCTGTTGGCTGTAGCAGTTGACTATTACAGCCCACAGTCGGCTGTTAAATAACGAAACAGTAGATTTTTGTACTTCTATTTCCACAAAAATCGATTGTTAAAGCTGTTAATTAATTAATTAATTTTTGTTGGGACTGATTTTTTTCTTATAATTAATAAATGAAGTTGATTAAATAAATAAGCATATGAATTTTTTTGTTGTGAGTTATTAAAAAAATTCTATTTTCGCATGCAGCTATGATAATTCCTGTCTGTTATTTCGACAATTTCGAATTGAATGAAAATAATCGATGGGAATAGAGATGGACGAGTGACATATGTAGTTGTATTGCAATTCCCATAACAGAAAGTACATTATACTCAAAAGTGTACCACGATTTGCAAAATAAGCTGAATGTCGATCAATCTCAATACGATATGCAATTGAGATATCTATTCAACGGTTATTGGGATTCATCCATTCCGATTCCATCGATATTCTTTACTAATGATGCTGAGTTGAATTATCTATTAGAATTGAATAAAATGCATCGGACTCCGATTTTTCTTGGTAAGACTTTAGTTAAGAAGGATGTTGTCAAAGGTGAAAGCGAAGATTTAGATAGAGCGGATAATAATGACTGAGATCTTTGGGAGACAGTGGAGATAGTTCCTGCGGATAATGTGGTTATTCCTGAGACAGTTGCTCCTGATCGTGATATCGTTGTTACGCACAGAATTTCGTCGACAGTTGAAGACAATGAGAATATAAATGATTTTACAAATGAAAATTTGATTGCTTTATCCCAACAAAGACATGAGCTGGGTGGGAGCTCAGAGGTTGGAACAAGTGGACCGTCCTCCAATTCTTTCCGTGTGGCTCCCAATGATGAGGACTTGTATATCGAGCAACTGTTTAAAACCAAGAAAGATTTGTAGGAAGCTGTGCACCAGCTTACATTAAAATATAACTTTGAGTTCAAGGTAAAGAAATCAAACAAGTCATTGTTGACAGTTGCCTGCATCGACGAAAGTTGCAATTGGTGCTTCAGAGCAACTAAGATGGACACGAATGAGTACTTTGTAATTCGCAAGTATTCACGAAAACATACTTGCGAAGTGAGAATTTTTCAAAACGATCACAGGCAAGCTCGAGCATGGTTAATTGGTCGACAGATAATGCACAAGTATCAGGACCCACGGGCGATCTATAGACCTTCAGACATCATTAATGACGTCTATCGAGAGTATGGAGTGCTCATGAAATACAATGCAACCTGTAATTTTAGTTGATGGTACAACTCTAAAAGCTAAATATCCAGGCAAATTAATTATTGCTACATGTCAATACGCCAACATTCAAATTTACCCTATTGCATTCGGCATAGTCGACAACAAGAATGACCTGTCCATGCGTTGGTTCTTTTCTAAACTGAGGAAAGTGATCGGGGAAGTCGAAGACCTTACCTTTGTAACCGATTAGGGACAGTCTATAATAAACGGTATCGCTGAAGTTTTTCTCGAGGCACATCACGGGTATTGTATGTACCATAAACAAGGTAATTTGAAGACTAGGTATCAGGGCAAAGGCATCATTTCATTGTTCAGGAGAGCAGCTGAAACTTATAGTGCTGAGGAGTGTAATAAGTTCATGTTCAAGATAGGGAGTAAATCATTACCAGCGTTGGAGTATCTGACGAACATGGGGATCGAACATTGGGCACGGTCATAGTTTTCAGGACGTCAATGTAACATGATGACGTCGAATAACGCGGAGTCTCTCAATGCATTGTTTAAGAAGGATCGAGAGTATCAATTCTTTCAATGGTTGAGAACATTCCTAATAAGCTGCAACAGTGGTTTCATAACCGACGTGCGACATCACAGAGTTGCACAGCGTGCTGGCCCCAGTTCAAGGGGAGAAACTCTTTAAGGCAGCAGAGGTTGCGAGGAAGTTGAATGTGGAAGCACTATATGAGTTCCGCTTCTCCGTGCAATGTGCACGTAATACGACATATATGGTTGACTTGACTGATAACACATGCACTTGTACGAGATTTCAGTTAGAGAGTTTTTCATGTGAGCATGCAGTTGCAGTGACCATATATAAAGGCTTTGCAGCGAGAACGTTATGCTCTTTGTATTATAAGACCGAGTCTTGGAGAACAGCATATGCTGAGACTATATTTCTTCTACTGAATGAAGTCGAGTAGGAAGTTCCCGAGTATATTCTCCCGTTTGATACTTTGTTGCCACCAGTAGTTGAACCGCGTGGTCCTAGACGTCCAAGTAAATCTAGAATACCATCTACCGAAGAGTTTCCTCGACCACGTAGGTGTGGCAAGTGCAGAACCATAGGGCATACTCGACAATTTTGTAGCAGTCAAAATCCCCTAAATGACAATTAGACAGGTACGTTAAATGAATATTTTTGTTTACTTTACACTGTTCAATATTTGTTCTTCATAAATGTTCAATATTCAATATTTATTCTTGATAAATGTTATTTATAATGATTCATATAAAAAAAATAGTTCCATACTCGGCATATGTGTAAAAATAACAAAAAATCAACTTACAAAAAAAAAATTAAATTTCCAATTTAAATGTTATATATATTGAACACAAATTTATAATT